ACGCCCCCCTTCTCAAACCTTCTTGCTGGTTCTGGGGGCTTTTTCAAGATGGATCACCTTCCATGACCCTTGCTCCAGTTCTTCCCCCTTTGTGGACTCTGCCGTGTATAGTGTCTCCCCTTGGGTGGGTGCACCCGCAATTGCTACTTCTGGCCGCCAGTCGGCGCTGCTACACTACACGTTTTTTTGGTATTTTAAATGTGTTTACAACATGAAAGTGGCATAAATAAAGATACAAATAGACAAAAATGTATATCCTACTTTAAAAAAGTTACTGTATTTACTGTGCCGTACTTGCCACTTCAATCTCGAAGACTCTGCAGCATGGGGGTGATGTATAAACAGTAGTGCATGATTTTCATTGTTTAATTTGTATAAGGAGTATAGTGTATCGTATATATTTGACACTTTGTCACACACGCCGATCTCGATCACAGCTTTTGGAGCGGTTTCAACGAATCGGTACTGGGACCACCGGATAATATAATCTATGATCAATTGTACGCTGAACTTCTTTCGCACCGTACTTAGGCAACCGTGCTAATCGGTGGTGCAGTGTTGGGTGTCTAGGCAGTGTTAGTCTAAGGGTAGTGTATGGGTAGTGTTTGTCTATGGGTAGTGTTAGTCTATGGGTAGTGTTAGTGTATGTGTAGTGGCCTTATTGACGACGGAGACTTGTTCTTTGGAGGCAACACGTATTTATTACAGACACTTCACTCTACAGTGGCGAATCTGATATTTGAAGAGGTAACGGCCTCTTCACCCGTACTCTACAGAGGGAACGTTCCCCGAGCTTTAGCCCACGCTAGCTCCCTAGTTCCCGCTATCCTGGTCCTCTCTCAGGAGGCTGTCTGACCTGGCCCAGCTTCGGCGCAGGTCCCGATCACCAGCCACACGAGCCCGGCCCTCAGAAGGACATCGGCCCTCTCGGCTCTGGCGTCTCACCCTGGCTTGCTTTGCCCGGCCCTCAAAAGGACAGCGAGCCAAAGGAGTCCCAGGGTCTGGCTAGTCGATCTTCTTTCTTCACTGGCTCTTCATCTTGCTTGAGTCGAACTGCCCCTCAGCTCCCCGGGTCCCACCTTTTATACTGTCCCTCTCTGAGGGTTGGGGCTGGGAGGGATCACAGCGTCCCCCACAGCCCCCCAGGGTGGTGGCCGTAGCGGACGTGTGTGTGGCCACCGCCCTACAACCGCGTGTCCCCCTCCCGTAACGTCTCAACATCGGCGTAGTGTTCGTCTCTGGGTCGTGTTATTCTATGGGCTGTCTGTTATAGATGTATGTTGAACTTATTTTGCACCGTACGTAGCCAACCATGCTAATCGAGAGGCTAGCTAGCTCTTCAGCCGAATGTGATAAGCCAGGAATTTAACAAAAAAAATAACAAGAACTGTTCCACTCGTGAAAGTGCACGTACCATGACGGATCACCTGTCTCAAAAAAACACGTCAAGTGTTCCTGTTCAAATATGCCCTGGTGGCCAAGTGCATACAACTACGCCAAAGGGCAGAGGCGCAACCCTGCAATTGCTTGCTCACGCTACCGCTGGCAGAAGGGCCCTCTCTAAGAGGGGGGGGGGAGGGGGCTCTAAATTGGGCCCCCTCTCGAGTGTATTTTTGTCCTTCTCATCTACACGCTGGTTCGGTACATTGGAGGAGGTGAAGGGCTTATCCACGCTTTACCCCACCACAGGCGAGCTGCCTACACGGTCCAACTGTTGAGTTCTCATAAGCGCTGCGTGGACACGGAGGTGCCACGCCGGGAGATCGAATATGTTCGAGCCAGTGGAGGCCTCCTGGATTCTACTGTAAGGCAAAATGTGAAAATGATAACCGAGCTATGGGTGCGTGTGTGTGTGCCGACTGTCATTTGAGTAGCGTAGTGGTGGTTAACGCACTAAGGTGCAAACGCCTTTTGGCTTCCTCTGGTCTAACACCGTCTGAGACGAGGCTCAAAAGAAAGCTGTCTCTGGTGTGGAACAAACAGTTTCAAAGACAATGCATCATATTATCATAGTGTGTTTTTTGTTTGCATTCTGACCACAAGTATTGTGGTTAATGCAGACGTGATTCCTTGTAAAAGGTTTCAATTTTGTGTTTTAACATCTTAACACAGCTGTTTTGTTGCCAGATAAAAGGGGAATAACTATTCACGGAATGGGAATATTTATCATTTATGCTGCAGGAGAAATCCGATGAGTTGTAAAGCTCTTTTTTTCCCCACATGTCCAGTGTGGGCACGGGGTCAGAGCGTTTCAACAACAGACAGTACCAAAAACACGGCAGGAGTGCAAAGTATTGGAATGGTAAGCAAATCAGTAAAATTAGATACAACTAAAACAATGTTTTACTTACCAGGTAAAGGTCTTTTTCAGAAGCGACCTCGCCACAAACGACAGCTCAACGAAGTGGCTTATCATCACGTGGACACTGAAAGCAGCCGAACACTCGAAATGCGTGATGTTGGTTATGATTTAGGGAAAACCCGGAGGACCCGGAGAAAAATCCACACGTCCACAGGGAGAGAGACACGCACGCAGAATCCGAATATACAGCAGCAGACGTCAGGGTCAGGATCAAACCCACGAGCCCCCTGCATACCAGGCGAGGTAGTTAACATCTCCTAGCCGCCGTGACTTGTTGCAAAGGTTCACGGTTCGAGTCCAGCGGACCGCCCCGGTCATCACCGCGGGCGCAACGACCGTGATGATGCTTCACAACAAAGCGGTTTATCACGTGGACATTTTTTTTCCGCAGCCAAATAATAATCCGAAATCCGTGCGTCCCCCCCCCAGCCCCGAGTTAGATTCTAGGTTCACGGCGAACATCAGTGGCGAACATCCGAAACCAGTGATGACGGTGCCCCGGGCTCAGTTCCCCCACCCCCACGGACCTCCTAGAGCTCGACGCGGCAGCCCGCTGACATCGTTCATCCTGGGCGTGCGCGCGGTGCGTAACAGAAACAACAACAACAAAAAGCCACCGCTCCGCTAACAGGCACCTGCCGACCGGCACGGTAGCCCACACCACCCCCAGCCTGGCTTTAGAAGCCATACAACGAAAGGAGGTGGTGGTGGGTGGGGGGTGGGTGGTTGGTTGGTGGTTGGGTGTGTGGTTGGGTGGTTGGTTGGTGGGTGGTTGGTGGGTGGGTGGGAGGGTGGTGGGTGGGTGGTTGGTTGGTTGGTGGTTGGGTGTGTGGTTGGGTGGGTGGTTGGTGGGTGGTGGGTGGTGGGAGGGTGGTTGGTGGGTGGTTGGTGAGTGGTTGGTTGGTGGTTGGGTGTGTGGTTGGGTGGTTGGTGGGTGGGTGGTTGGTGGTTGGGTGGGTGGGTGGGTGTGTGGTTGGGTGGTTTGTGGGTGGGTGGTTGGTGGTTGGTGGGTGGGAGGGAGGGTGGTGGGTGGGTAGTGCGTGCGTGTCATCCGACGATTTGGCAACAGGGGCCCTCCGGACGCACACAGTTGGCGAGGCCCCATCGGCCGCTTGCGTCAAGGAACGGGGGTGGTGGTGGTGTAAGGGGCGGGGTGGTAGTGTAGGGGAGGGTGGTGGTGTAGCGGTGGTGGTGGTGTAGGGGGTGGTGGTGTTGGGGAGGGTGGTGGTGTAGCGGTGGTGGTGGTGTAGGGGGGAGTGGTGGTGTAGGGGGGGTGGTGTAGTGGTGGTGGTGTAGGGGTGGTGTAGTGGTGGTGGTGTAGGGGGTGGTGGTGTCGGGGGTGGTAGTGGTGTAGGGAGGGGGGGTGGTGGTGTAGTGGTGGTGGTGTAGGGGGGTGGTCGTGTAGGGGGGGTGGTAGTGTGGGGGGGGGGGTGGTAGTGTAGGGGGGGTATAGGGGGGGTGGTGGTGTAGGGGAGGTGGTGGTGTAGTGGTGGTGGTGTAGTGGTGGTGGTGTAGGGGGTGGTGGTGTAGGGGGGGTGGTGTAGTGGTGGTGTAGGGGGGGTGGTGTAGTGGTGATGGTGGTGGTGTAGGGGGGGTGGTGGTGGTGTAGTGGTGGTGGTGTAGGGGTGGTGGTGTAGGGGTGGTGGTGGTGGTGTAGTGGTGGTGGTGTAGGGTGGTGGTGGTGTAGCGGGTGGTGGTGGTGGTGTAGGGGGGGGGGGTGGTAGTGGTGTAGGAGGTGGTGGTAGTGGTGGTGGTGTAGGGGGTGGTGGTAGTGTAGTGGTGGTGGTGTAGGGGTGGTAGTGTAGTGGTGGTGGTGTAGGGGGTGGTGGTGGTGTAGTGGTGGTGGTGTCGGGGTGACGGTGGTGGAGGTGTAGGGGTGATGGTGGTGGTGGTGTAGGGTGGGTGGGGGGGGTGCCCGCGCGTGTATTTATAGCGGGGCCCGGCCCCAGCCAGCTGACTTCGTCGCAAGTTCAAGCGGGGCTCGCGTTTGAGGTGGCGGTCTGTGGTGAAGACCCAGGGGTGGTGGTGGTGGTGGTGTCGGCTCATCCCTCATAGGAGGTGAGAGAACTCCCCAAGCCCCTCTCTGTCTGCCTGTGTCTCTCTCCGTGTGTGTTTGTCAGTCAGCGGGACGTGTTGCTGTTGTTGTTGCTCGTTGTTGTTGCGCAGCGGTGGCGCTCTGGTTGTGTGTTAAGCTTCCCCTGTTCGTCGAGTGCCGGCGGTGTTACCCGGCGTCGATCGATGTCACCCCCCCACCACCACTAACATGCAGGTTGTGGTTGTGGCTGTGGTGGTGGTTGTGGCTGTGGTTGTGGCTGTGGTTGTGGCGGTGGTTGTGGCTGTGGTGGTGGCTGCTGTGGTGGTGGTTGTGGTTGTGGCTGTGGTGGTGGTGGAGGTGGTGGTGAGAGTTGTGCGCGTTCCGATTCCTCGCAAATCCACGGCCGGCGACGATTTATCCGAACCGGCCCTGGGCGTGCTCCCTCCTGGGTCGACTCGGCCTTAAACCGGTGCGGCGTGCGTGTGAGACGAGCATCGTGGGGGGGGGGTCGTGGGGGGGTGGGTGGGGGGGTGGGTGGGGGTCGTGGGGGGGGTGGGTGGGGGGGGGGTCGTGGGGGGGTGGGTGGGGGGGGTCGTGGGGGGGTCTACGATGGACAACGAACCCCACCGTGGTCCCGCGTGGCCTTCGATCGAACCTCGCCGATTCGCGTTACCGGCTTTCGGGCAGCCTCTCTCGGCGACTTGCCCCACACAGCACGGGGGGTTTACTTACACGAGGTAAGGACCTTTGTCTTTGTAATGGTGGTGGTGGTTGTTGTTGTTGTTGTGTGGGGAGAACTTGCGGCCTACGAATCCACGGGTTCGATTCCCACGCTCGAACTGGCAACCGGTTCCCTTGGCCTCCCTCTAGGTCGACTCGGCCTTAAACAAAAACGAGTTAACACCCCCACCTCACCCCCCACCTCACCACCCCCACCGGTGCCGTAAACCATCACCACTTGGGGGGGGGGGGGAGACAAAGGCGGTCGGGGGCCGTGGCGGTTTCGACCACCCCCTTGGGCCTCCCCATCGATCGATCGCTCCTCGCGAGCGGTTGTCAAGGGAACCGCTCGGGGTTGTTGTGGTGGTGGTTGTTGTGGTGGTGGTTGTTGTGGTGGTTGTGGTGGGGGAGCCGCTCCGGGAGTGCCCCGCCGATAACGGCGGCGACCTTGCCCGCGCAAGCTTTGTCTGTAGCCAGGTGGTGGTTGTTGTTGTTGTGGTTGTTGTTGTTGTGGTTGTTGTTGTTGTGGTTGTTGTTGTTGTGGTTGTTGTTGTGGTTGTTATTGTTGTGGTAGGGGAGCCGGTGGCCTACGGAAACGCCGGCGGCGGGAATCCCCCCCCTCTCGCTCTTGATTAAATTTCCGGTTCCCGGGTCTCCGCTTAGGTCGACTCAGCCTTAAACAAAAATCGAGACCCCGGTGCGGTGTGTAGGCGATCAGCAACACTTGGGGGTGGTGGTGGTGGTGGGGGAGACTGCCCTGTTCAGGGCCTCCTGGGGTGGTGTTGTTGCGATCTCTGTCCCTGTTACAAAGCAGATGTCCCGGGGGGGGGGGGGGGGGGGGGGAGCTGCAGTGCCCCCCCACACCGCCCCCCACCACCACCACCCCACCCACCACCACCCCACCACCACCACCCCACCACCACCACCCCACCACCACCACCCCACCACCACCACCCCCCCTAGCGTCGGCTGCTGCTGACCCTGCGGTGCTGATCGTACTGCCCGCGCTGCTGCTGCTGTCCCTGCCGCTGCTGCTGCCGCTGCTGCTGCCCCTGCCGCTGCTGCTGCCCCTGCCGCTGCTGCTGCTGCCCCTGCCGCTGCTGCCGCTGCTGCCCCTGCTGCTGCTGCCCCTGCCCGCGTTCTCTCTGTCTCGCGACGCCCGCGACCATTGTTCAGTGGCGGCAGGAGGAGGAGCGGTGGCGCAACGGTTAGCGCACCCGCACGATAACATTTCACCACCACCACACCCCCTTCTCCATCCAGCCACCCCGGTCGCCGCTGGTGAATCATCTGGCAACCCCCCCTCCCCTCCCCGTGGGTTCTTCAGCATTCACTGCCTTGCCATACCCTACCGTCCCAGCACCACCGTGAAGTATGGCCAATGTTGCCCGAAACATCGCCTAATGTGTATATTTTTCGCCCTTTATTGGTCACAGTTGTTATAAGACCCCCCATAGCCGAAAGGCCGTTGGGGGGGAAGCCTTCATCCAGCAGTGGACTGTACGAGACCTTGCCTTGCACAGTCCACTGCTGGATGTGCAAGGCTCTGCCACTGTGCAAGGGCCAATGCCATCCATGCAAGGGCCTTGCACAGTCCGACAAAGGGCCCAAAGGTAAAGGTGCGGTCCCCGCAACTGCTCGCTCACGCCACTGCCAGAGCCCCCCCCCTCCCCCTCTCGAGAGTCCCCATCGACAGAGCCCCCCCCCCGTCTACAGACCCCCCCCCCCTCTACAGAGCCCCCCTCTCCTCTACAGAGCCCCCCTCTCCTCTACAGAGCTCCCCCCGTCTCGAGAGCCCCTCTCTGGCCGCACACAGCGAGAGATACCATCGAGTGGACAGTTTAACACGCCCTAGGGCTTTTGCGAGCAATGCCATCCATAACACTGTGTAACAAATTTGTATTTTTATTTTGTCCCTGGGTAGTAAGTGTTATTTACTAATTGCTTATGCCTCAAAAGTACAGAAAATGGCTATTGTTCCCCACAAACTTTGCTTTTGTGACCAGGACAGTGATATTTTGAACTTCTTTGGTTCTTTCGGTAAAGTCACGTAGAATGAGAATAAAATAATAAATTTATAAACTAAAATAACACAATAAAATTCTCACGACGTTTCGGCCACAACACAAGCCGCTTGTGTTGTGGCCGAAACGTCGTGAGAATTTTATTGTGTTATTTTATCAATTTATTATTTTATTCTCATTCTACATGACTTTACCGAAAGAACCAAAGAAGATGAATCCTTGCAGTCACGAAAGCTTTAAATCGAAATTTGATATTTTGAAATTTACCTATTTCCCAGAACATTCCAGATAGATTCAGTGCTGAGTAAACTTGGAGCAACTTCTATAACATTCTATAACTTTTCAGTGATATAAATAGTAGTATAAATACAGGGGCCTTAAGCCCACCAGTTCAGTTTAGTTCCAGCTGCGTAAGTGGATACATATCTGCATTTTTCTGAGATGGCATCATGAGGCTGTAAGCATCCGGCAGACGCATTTTGCTATGTCTGCGGCCAATTTATCAAGATGAGCGAAAAAGTACTGTCTGGAAGCATCTGCTAAGATGTGTGAAGCCTACAAGGCATTTTTCGGCATCAAGACAAACCCTGGGCACCTCATTTCACCTGCGAGCAATGCAACAAAAACTCTGGAAGGTAAGATGAACAATTTGCTAGGAATTGTAGGTTATAAAATTGTAAAAGTTTAAAATTTTAAAATGTTTTGCAATTTTCAATGTTATTGAAAGAATATATATCAAAAATTGTTGCCAGAATCTCTTACACATAAGTCATGGGTGAAATAAATGTATTTTTGTAGGATGGTACAGAGGGGAAAAGAGAGCCATGAAGTTTACTATCCCAAGAATTTGGCGGGAACCCACTGACCACTCATACAACTGTTACTTCTGCATGGTGGACCCTTCCAAACGTCGGACTGCCAAGAATGCACCTGCTATCACGTATCCGGACCTTCCTTCATCCATCGCCCCGGTGCCACACTGCCATGAGCTCCCCGTAACCACTCTTCCGGAGAGAGAGCAGCCGTCTTTAGAAGAGAGCAGCAAGTCAGAGAGCGAGGAAGACGTTGTAGATCCAGATGACAATTTCAGAGGTGGAGCTGAGGAGAGAAACCCATATTACCCCAACCAAAAAGACCTCAGCTACTTGGTCAGATATATTGGTCTCACCAAGTCCCAATGCCGAGCTTTTGACATCTCGGCTCAAGCAGTGGAACTTGTTGGATGAAAGTGTGCAAGTCGCAGATCAGAGGAAGCGTCACCAACCTTTATGCAGCTTCTTCACCCGTCAAGATGGGCTCTGCTTCTGCCACAATGTGACCAGTCTGTTCAAGGCAAAGTCCATATCCTTGATGCTTATCTTGATAAATTCTAGGAGAACATGGGAACGTAAGGTGAGCGCTTCCACCAGGATATACTGGACTTTGAACGCCGCTACCAAGATCAGTATAACGAGAACATAATGGGAGACTACATTTGGGGGCTGATTCGTGAAAGTGATTTACAGTATAATCGTAAATCTCGAAAAACTACGCACTTATAAATCTTTTGCAGTATTTTTTTTTATTACTTTAGTTTTAATATACGTACATTTTTATTCATGTTTTTTTCTGACTTTATGTGAACTAAAAGACACAAATTCGCCCGTTTTCTCATTGAAAATAGGTACATTTAAAAATATCATTCTTGGTCACAAAAGCAAAGTTTGTGGGGAATAATCGCCATTTCCCATACTTTTTAGGCATAAGCAATTACGAAATAACACTTGCTACCCAGGAACAAATATTGTGTTAGAGAGTGTACTTAAAGGGGGGTTTTTTGGTGGGTCAGATGGCGTAAATATAAATGTTGTGTTGTTAAACGGACGGCAGCGCTTTTTAATATGACATCAAACCCGCATCATTAGCACGGTCGTCGGCTACGTAGGGTGCGAAAGAAGTTCGACCGTACTGCGCACGCATTTTAGCCGGGCGGTGGTGGGGGCATACTCCTGCGGAGGCAGCAGCAAGGGTTGGTGGATCACGCAAAGACAAAGACCCACCCCGTATAGCCTTAACAGGCTGTTGGGGCAAGTGCTGCTAGCGAGTAGGCCGTAACGACACGAGGGGGTGGGTGACCAGCACCACGCCCGGCCGCCTTTGTCTCCCTAGTGGCGGTGCTTACACATCGCACCAAGGCACTCATTTGAGGCTGAGTCGATCTAGGGGAGGCCCAGGACCGATTCAGATAATCGTCAATGGTGTTGGTCGTGAGCGGGAATTGAAATCGTGTCGCCCGGTTTGGAGTGCAGCGCGCTAACCATTAGACTACTGCTCCCCATTGGTAGATTGAGGGTCAGTGGATCACACGAAGACAAAGTTCCCCCATATAGCCTTAACAGACTGTTGGGGCAAGTGCTGTTAGCGAGCACCTATGAAGGCCGGCACGGCACACGAGGGGGTGTGTGGCCAACACCACGCCCGGCCGCCTTTGCCTCCCCAGTGGCGATGTTTACACATCGCACCAGGTACTCATTTGAGGCTGAGTCGAGCTAGGGGAGGCCCAGGACCAGGTTCAGATAATCGTCACTGGTGTTGGCCGTGAGCGGGAATGGAACGCGGGTCGCCGGGTTCGAAGCGCAGCGTAGCGCTAACCGCACGCACACACACACACACCCCCACAGACACGCGATGTGAAACTCCCTTCACGCGGGTGCGAAGGATGTGTCATGCCACGGCTCGTCAGAAGAGAAGTGCAACGGCAAAATGTGAACCCCGATCTGTTCCATCTGCACGGGGCAGAGTGTCGACCCCCTCGCACGCGTGCGGTTTTCTCCCGGGGGCGCTCCGGTTTCCTCCCACGTGTCAACGCTCATTAATCGGCGAGTAACAACTTCGCATATACAGGATCGCAGAGCTCAGGCATGCCTTCGCGCTGGCTTATCGCCTGGCTGCCCTTCCCGCTTGGTCCATGGTTCTTCCCCCCGCGTCTCCCGAGTCGTTTTTTTTTTCTTCTTTGAGAGCGATCGATGGCCGGTGTGGCACCGCGTTACAGGTTGGAATTATTACGGCTGGGGTGATGTTGAAATATTAACCTGCAAGGTTTCCTAATTCGTATGTCTGCCCTCAGGGATAATCAGTCGCTATGGAGCGTTCACCCTCTATGACCGGGTGAGAGCCCAATTGGAACCCGAGTCTCGAGGGAACTTTGAAAGGAGGAGTGGAAGTCTTAAGATTAAGTTAACTGGCAAGTTTAACAATTTGGTTTTATGTGTGCATTCATGTGCACACACGTCAACCACGATGGTGCCTATCATCATCAAGAGGCATGGTCAATACACGGCTGCCATCTCTCTCTCGATCCTTACAATGCAACAATCCACCCAGCACCTGTGCGCAAGCCGATTCCATTGCTCCATCTCTTTGCCGGACGAAACTCCACTCGACCAATGGCCAATATCGCTTCGAGGAAACTCTCATGCTCGAGCACATTTGATTCTGTTCACAATTTGAACGATGACTTTCATCCGCATTTCATCATCGCTTTAGAAGTTCTTGTGTGTGTTTAGTTTGTTGTCCTTCCACCGCCCCCGCACCTCCGATTAGCGCGGTTGGCTACGTAGGGTGCGGCAGAAGTTCAGCGAACACACGTATTAATACGTACGTGCTCCAATCCTTTGCGTTCCCCTTCGCTCTGCACGCGCCTCTGGGTGCATTTTCAAGCGTGCATCTCTCCACGCTGCTTTGTGCACGGCGTGGTTCTGCGCCTCCGCTCCTAATAGGGCCACTTAGGCAGAGAAGCCCGCGCGGTCCTTCTGTCGCCGTGTTTTGGGAGTGACACCAAAACGAATGATTGGCTAGGATCGCAGAGTGGAGATTGTTTTTTTTGTTTGCACGCAGGATCAACTTGTCGACCGCGTCGCCACGATCGTTTTTACATTTCACCCCCCCCCCCCCCGCCAAGGCTGAAAAGGGTTTCAACGGCTTGTGTCTGTGTTGTGTGTCGTCTGCCCGGTAACGTGGGTTCACGATCACGCTCTTGATAGGGACACAATATGAATGAAATGTTCGCATGAAGTTGGGTTGCTCGTAGAGAATTCCCCCCTTTTTAAAAAAACTGGGGGCAAATTTATCCAAGGGTTTTAACACCCAAAACTACAGACTATGGGTAGTGTTAGTGTTTGGGCAGTGTTAGTCTTTGGGCTGTATGTATGTTGAACTTATTTCGCACCGTACGTAGCCAACCGTGCTAATTCGAGGTGCGATGTCTGGATCACCCGGTATTTTTTTCCCCCCTTCTCTCCCACCACCCTCCCCCTTGGAGAGCAACGACAATCAGATTTGTTTGCTACGGTGGTTAAATGTCCGAAGTCCACGATAGACAGCACAATTAAAGGCGAAGCTGAGAATTTAAGATTAAAAAACTTTTTTTTTTAAAACAAAATTACAATGTTTAACCGATGGCCCGCCCGGACGCGTACGTGACCCGTGTGGAACGCAGGCCGACGAAGCCCGTCGGGGCACCGCTCGCTCCTCGCCGGGACGCCATGGGGGCGGCCGGAGGGCCGGGAGGCCGCCCGGAGCCTCCCGATGGCGGCTGGGGCTGGGTGGTCCTGGGCGCCGTCTTCCTCACCATGAGCCTCTCGCTGCCCGTGCCCCAGTCGCTCGGCGTGTTCTTCGCCGTTCTGCAGGACGAGTTCGGCGCCTCGTCCGGCGCCACCGCCTGGGTGCCCTCGTGCATGACGGCCACGTTGCACGCCGCCGGTGAGCGACGCCGCGCCGTGCGGCTGCCCCGTGCGTCCCGCGCGGGAGGGCGGATTTGCCGCGGCTCCACCCGGCGCGTGCATTCAGGCGCCGCGGTGGCTCGCAGATGTTAACTCCCTCGCCTGCTACGCAGGAGGTCGTGGGTTCCATCCCGACCCTGACGCCTGCTGTGTATTTGGAGTTTGCGTGTCTCTCTCCGTGGTCGCGTGGATTTACTTCCTGGGTGCTCCGGTTTTTCCCTCGATATTTAGAATCAATGTGCGTTTGGAGTATTTGGCTGCTATATATTTCCACGCGATAAGCCACTGCGCTGAGCTCTCGTTCGTGGACAGATCTCATCTGAAAAAGAAGCTATATAGCTCAGTGGGCCTTACCTGGCAAAATAAAAAAAATAGTTTGTTGCTTTCGTGCTTCTCCAGGAACTACTGAGCAGCCAGCTTTATTTCGTGCCAACAGAAGTCTTAACGTCTGTTGTACGTACGTACATACAACTTCTCAACACAAAAAAAAAAACACTTCTAAAGAAATGTGTTTTTCAATCTAGAATTTTCTTTCTAAAAAAACCTTCGAGTCTCACGATCAATTCTCAGGATGGGGTCCCACCCAAGTGTCCGCAACTAGGGGGGAGCGACATCGCTGCTGCCGTGCGTGATCCCACAACGAGCCACTCTGCGAGCAATTTTGGGAGCATTGGGACGCTTGGCCCAACGCCAGTTACGCCGTCTAAGGTACGGTGTATATGTACGGTGCGAAAGAAGCTCAACACAGTACGCGTGTAAAATTAAATACCCGGTGCGCGGACAGAGGCCAAGGCCGGGATTAAATAACCCAGGTTTCGACTGCCGTGCCGGGAGATCGAATCGGCGACCCTGTGAATACGCTGATTTGCTGTTCCCCGTCCCATTGTACAGTTCCCGTGATTAAACACGCGTAGCTTTGTCGGGCGGACTTTGCTTTTGCGAAGTGAGTGTGGCGTCCGAAGTGAATAACCGCCGTTATCGGATTGGCCCCCTCTGCCTCGCATTGCGAAATGCCTGTGACGACACGCGGTGAGCATCGAAAACTTAGCCCCTCCTAAGCGGCGTGCGAAAGGTCAAATACGACTCGAAGAATTTTACCGTAGCCATCCTTATTTGAAACAAATTTTTTAAAGCGATAAAAAAATTGATTTTTTTTATTTTTCAGAAGCGACCTGCCCGTCGCAAATGATGGCCCAATGAAGTGGCTTATCAGCGTGTGCAAATTTTTCGAGCAGCCAAATGCTCTGAACGCATGATGTTGATTCCAAATGTGGGGGAGGAAAAACTGGAGGACCCGGAGAAAATTCCAGGCGACCATGGGGAGAAACACGCAAACTCCAAATATACAGGGATCAGGGTCGGGATTGAACCCAGGACCTCCTGCATACCAGGCGAGGTAGTTAACATCTCGCCACTGCGATGCCCAGGGAGCAATAGCGGCTCTTTCTGCACGGCCGGTGACCAATCAACAACGATAACCACGGCAACGCAAAGGTTAGAATTCCAGACGCGAACCCATGACCTCCTGCGTACCCGGCGCGGTAGTTAACATCCCGATTCGCCATGGAAACACAAAGTTGGAACTTCAAAAGCGTGAAAAAAGCTGAACGGGGAAGTTCATTTTTTTATCGTATTGCCACATCTTGTTTCACGGCGGATGGCAGCCACGGAGGCTTTTGGGAAAACATTTTTTTTATCGTATCCAGAGAGGCAATGGTCTGATGGACTACAACATACGTTAATTATACATGTGGGGGCGACGGGACAGGGGGGAGGGGGGTGGCGGTGGCATATAACGGAGTCAGTAGTAGGGGGGGGGGGGGGGACGCTTATTGGTGCCGTGTGTAATCCCAGTTGAGGCAGTTGCGGTGTCAATTTCGGGGTTGGCAAATTTGGACGGACGCTGACACGCACTCAACTAAACTTTTTTTTTTACCAGCTGAGACACCACTGAGCTATACTGCGGCTTGTTTTTCAGAGGCGACCTGGCCACAAATGACAGCTCGACGAAGTGGCTCACCATCACGTGGAAATTTACAGCAGCCAAACACTTTGAACGCGTGACGTTGATTATAAATGATGAATGACGTCAAGGAGTTCGGGGACGTCCACTGTGAGACCCCGTTAAAGGTCGTTGCGCTGGCAGTAATGACCAGGGCGGCCGCTGTAATCGAACCGTGAACCTTTGCAACACGTCACGGTGGCGAGATGTTAACTACCTCGCATGGTATACAGGAGGTTATGGATCCGATTCTGACCCTGACGCCTGCTGTATATTTGGGGCTTGCAGTGTCTCCCTCTCTCACCCCGTGGCCGCTTGGATTTTTCACTGGGCCCTCCGGTTTTTTTCCTATACACATTTAGAATCAACGTGCGTTTCGAGTGGCTGCTGTACATTTCCACGCGTTAAGCCACTCGGTTGAGCTATCGTTTGTGATAGCCTGATCGCTTCTGAAAAAGAGCTGTATAGCTCAGTGGGGCCTTACCTGGTCAAATATAAATAGTTTTAATCTTGACTTGAAGCTTTCATGACTGCAGGAATTAATATTCTTTGGGTCTTTCGATAAAGTCACGTAGATAGGTTCAAAGAAAATAGCAAAAAAACTACGACGTTTCGATCGCAACACAAGCGGTCGTGATCAGGAAAAGAGGGGGGTTAGCTTCTGAAGACAACTGTTTACAGTGAAACCTTGGATTGCGAGCATTATTCGTTCTGGAAACGTGCTCGTAATCCAAAGCACTCGTATATCAAAGCGAATTTCCCCATGAGAAATAATGGAAACTCAGATGATTCGTTCCACAACCCAAAAATACTGTATTCGTATAAAAATGAGTAATACAAAATACCTTTTTTTATATTTGTATTATTTAAATTTAATATAAAGTAATCAAATGTATTAATTACATTTAATCCGGACCGGTGTGAGGGAGACGACAGAGAGGAGAGGACGACTTTCACTTGCAGCACAGTTACTAAAGAACAGTTGCTACACTTGGACACAATAAAAAAAATGTTGCCAGAAAACAGGGGAAAAACCCTATTATTACATTTTGGTACTGGCAAAGGAGGTCTAATGATGTAGATGCTCACCCCGAGCCCTCATTACTTTGAGAGTGCATTGTCTTTGAGCTGTACGCCTTTTGGCGTCATCTGGTCGAGCACCAATTGGGTCGAGGCTCAAAAGAAAGCCGTCCCTTGGTGTGGACCAATCAGTTTCAAGGACAATGCATATATCATCATAGTATGTTTTTTTTTTACATTTTGACTGCAGGTATTGTGGTTAATGCAGACATGAATCCTTGTAAAAAGGTTTCAGTTTTGTTGCCATAAAAAAGGGGAAAAACCCTATTATTACGTAAAAAAAATGCTTTAAGCACACACACATGGTCACAACACTATAGTACTGTAGTAAACAGTATACGCTCGCACGGATGTTGACTATACGAGTGAGGCACGCCGACTGAGACCGAGCATGGGAGATGATTACCCACAATCCCGCAGCGAGAGAGAGAGAAGAGCCATTGGCTCAGTTGTGATCACGTGATGCTCGGCAGACAAAGCGCATACTGTGCGTACTGCTCGTATTGCAAGACCCTTGCTTGTTTGTCAAATTATTATTTATTTAAACATTTTGCTCGTCTTGCAAAACACTCGCAGACCAATTTGCTCGCGATACAAGGTTTCACTGTATGTGTTAATGTGAGAGATTAGCATGTTAATGTGAGAGTTTAGCATGTTAATGTGGGAGATTAGCATGTTAATGTGAGAGATTAGCATGCTAATGGCAGATCGCCGATCAGCAACCTTGAGGATGGTGCGCGAAGGTGGCTGTGCTAGTGTCAGAAATTTAACCTGTTAATGTCAAAAAATCAAGGAACATCACAGCCAGTTATGACTTCAACGTCCTTCCAATGATTGCTCAGTTTGTACCCATCTTCTCGGTTGAAATTGTGTCTGTGTCTATATATGTGGATGGCTTCATGAACGAATCTTTGTGGATAGCCAGTGGGTTTGCAGAGTACCTTCGTCTTGGAGAAATCAATTTCGTGTGTGCCCACCGCATGAAAACAATGATCAGCCATGGCCGTAGTATTGGTCCTACCGTGTTTCAGATCTGCCTTATGTTCACGAACACGGTCCGAGACATGTCGCTTAGTTTCCCCAATGTTACTACTGCCGCAGACACAGCTTAGTTTGTAGACGGCGGGGTATTGCATGTCAGGGATCACATCCTTCACAGATGAACCTACGTGACTTTACCTGAAAGACCCCCAAAGACTTTAAATAGTTTAGTTCAGCGTGCATATCATGGACGTCAAAACGTAAAGAACAGGCCCACATTCAATCTTCAAGCGGCGAGAAATGACCCCAGCCTGTGAGATCCACCACGACAACAGGGCAGGATTCATTCTAGCGCCGTGTTGCTGTACTGCACTGAATTCTGGGTCCCACAATGTGTGTGTGGAGGGTGGTGGAGGAACAATCTAGTGGTCAGCGCACTGCGCTGCAAACCCAGCGACCCGAGTTCGATTCCCACTCACGACCAACACCAGTGATGGCGATTATCTGAATCTGGTCCTGGGCCTCCCCTAGGTCGACTCAGCCTCAATGAGTACCGAGTGCGGTGTGTAAACGTCGCCACGAGGGAGACAAAGGCGGCCGGGCGCGGTATTGGCCACCCACCCTCTCGTGTGCCGTTCCGGCCTTCAAAGGCGCTCGCTAACAGCACTTGCCCCAACAGTCTGTTAAGGCTATACGGGGGATCATTGTCTTTGTGCGGAGGGACTCTTGCCTATGACACCAGGCAACTCGACACCGCCGTTTGCTTAGCAGGAAAGTCAAACCGGTCTGGCGGTGGGTGGGCGGGTGGCCTGCTAACTCAAATATTGCCGACGAACGTAAGCTGATGGGCAAAAATATTATGCAATTTTATTGCCACCAGTTTAAACAGAGGCCCCTGCTGCATTAATTTATCGGACTTTTGACGGTGCCCTGGTGGTGGTGTCATTGTTTGCGCACTGGCCTTGAGCTCGACTTGCCGCCGTTTCGGTTCCGACTATCGGCCGTTACGGCGGTTGACCCAATGATGGCAGTAGCCTCTGTCCTCCCAGCAGTGTGAATGGGTGGAACCGGTCGACCGGCAGGTCACGTTCGGCGGGGTATGGCGTGGGGTACTTCCACATCTTCCACGGCGTCTGGCCAGGAGGAGGTATGTCAAAGCGAGGAGGTGCCGGCGATGTTTGCGTCTCGAACGAGGCGTTTCTCTCTGGAATCGTACGTACGAACGTACGTCGAGCTTCTTTCGCGCCCTACGTACCCGACCGCGCTAATCGGAGGCGCGGGGAGTGGAGGCTAAGGAGCGAGGGCTCGGCGGGTCGTGCCGCACGCAGGCCCCATCTCGAGCGCGCTGGCCGGACGGATCGGCTGCCGTTCGACGGTGCTGCTGGGCGGCCTGCTCACCAGCGTGGGCCTCATCCTCGCGTCGCTCAGCGGCTCTATCGGATACCTCTACGCTGCCGCCATCGTCAGCGGTCAGCTCGCTCGCCCGCACGCTCGCCCGCACGCAGTCACCCGCACGCTCACCGGCGCGCTCACCACCACGTGTTCACCCGCACCCGCGCTCACCCGTGCGCTCACCCGCTCCCTCGCACGCACGCTCGCCACCGCACGCTCGCCCGCGCGTTCACCCACACCCTCACCCCCATGCGCTCATCCGTGCGCTCACCACCACACGCTCGACCGCGCGCTCAATCGGCCTCGTCTGAAGCCATCGTGTGACCCCCCCCCCTCGCACTCGGTCGTAGATCCGCGAGTCGCTCGTCACGACGCCACGTGCAAGAGGACGGACGGTGATTTTTTGCCGTTTGCTGAATCGGCAAGAGCACCGACAACCGGTTATCGCCGCGCAGTTTATGGGCACGAGGGGCTTGGACTTGCGACCACCCCCCCCCCCCCCCCTCGCAAAACGCGCCAGGGTCTGTTGGCGCAGCGGCGTGGCGGTTGCGTAACCTCGGTGCGGGCCAGCGTTGCTCAACAGCTGGGCCAGCCTGTGCTCTCCGGCACTGCCGTCAAAAACACGCGATTCTCAATTAGCGTGGTCGCCAAGTTCAAATCGCGATCGCGGCCCAACGATTGAACTATTTTAACTATTTGCATTTCACGAGGCAAGGGCCCCCCCGCTGAGCTGCGTCGCTTCCTTTTCACAAGCGACCTGGCCGCCACAAATGATAGCTCAAGGAAGTGGCTTATTGCATGTGAATTTAGAGCAGTCGCCAAATACTCTTGAACGCACGGTTCTGAAATTGGTGCTCGTTTTACTGACCCGCGCGGGATGATTGATGGGCCTAGTTGCGGCGCCATTGTGGCCTGGTATACAGGAGGTCGTGGGTTCGATCTCGGCCCTGACACCTGCTGCTGCTGTATATTTGGAGTTTGCGTCTCTCTCCGTGGTGAGATGTTAACTACCTCGCCTGGTATGCAGGAGGTCGTGGGTTCGATCCCGACCCTCACGCCTGCTGCTGCTGTATATTTGGAGTTTGCTTGCCCCTCTACCCCGTGGTCGCTTGCATCTTTCTCCGGGTCCCCCGGATTTTCCCTCCACAATTTTAGAATCGACATGGCACCTTCCGGAGTATTCGGGCGCCGTCTTCCCTTGAGCTTATCGTTTGTGACGTCCGGGTCTCTCGCACAGCTCAGTGCAGGGGGGGGGGGGGCCTTAACCTGCTGAAGTAAAACAATGTAATAGTTAACTTTATAGTTTTATTGCATTTGCATCCTCTCGTCCGTACACCGTGGGTACGGACGAGAGGACGAAGCGCCTCTCATCGTGACGTGCGCGCCGCACTTTGCCCAGCTGTGAGCGACTGTAACACGAACGGCGGTCAGAAGTCGAAACGTCGCACGGGCCGCGCTCCTGACAACGGGGCGTCGTGTTTCCGGCGACTCGGACAGAGCTATTACAGCCGGACGGGCGGGGGCGGGGGGGGTGGCTGCGGTGGGACGCTGACGTCAGCGGGGTCGTGGAGGCGCGCTCCCTTCCGCCGAACACCTCTAACGGTTACCGCAGGATCTGGGGGGGCTGGCACTTGGCTAGCCGTCGGCGATGTTTCCCCGTCGAGCCACCGGCCGGCGGGAGCAAATTTGGAAGGCTCTGCAGTGGCATCGCGGTTCGCATGGCCAACCGTCCATACGTACGTAATACAGGGTGCTTCAAGAAAACGTGAACGCTTTCGAGAATTTGCAACAACGCCGTGAGAAATGTGCTGCCTCTGGGCCCTGGAGGCCACCTGGAGAAGATTCGAGGCACGTGTTGACAACGGTGACGAACAAGTGGAGGCTATTTGACTTTTTGAAGCTATTAACATGCATTTGTTATCATGTTACAGTGCAATATCCCTTTAATTTTCCATTAAAAACGATAGTCCCCCTGTATTACGTACGTGTGGACGTTGAACTTCTTTCGCTGCTGTACGTCACCAACCGTGCTAATCGGAGGTGATGCGATGAAGGAAATGGGGCCATATACCCCCCGCCACCCCGTCCGCTATCTCCGCTCTCTTAATAGGCCAGCGGCTCGGCCCCCAACTCCGGCCGTGGGGCCTGGTGCAGTTGCACCGCCTACACACTTGATAGAAAAGCCACCCCTACTCCCTCTAAATACCACTCATTGCACAACGATTCATATTACCAGACAACAAACAAATGTACGCAGCTGTAAGCTTTCATTATATATGTTTTTGGGTTAGATCGCGTTATTTATAAAAGTGTCGTAACCCTCCACCACCCGACACGGCCAAACAGGAAACAAAGTGTCACGTTTACAAAGGACAAATAGTTCACTACTTTTGCCCACCGGTGTGTTGAAGAGTGAATCAACATCATTTACAATTTGAGTACGACGTTTTGCTGGCAATTACATCCAGCTTCATCGGGCGATTTGCCAGAATGGTGAGGCTCTCCTCTTGCTCCCGGTCTTAAATAGAGCAGCAGCAGGGTGACGTCATCATTTAATTCATTCAGGTGCAGTGATTTGAGGCGGGGAGGGTATTGTAATTATATAATAGATTGATAATCATATTCTTGGTTCTTTCTTTATTGTTTCCCTTCTACGTGACTTTACCGAAAGAACCAAGAATATGAATCCCTGCAGTCACGAAAGCTTTAAATAATTCATATTTGTTTCCCTTATAAGGAATTGTAATTGTATTATATATTTTATTTAATAATACGCTTCCAGGCCGCACTAAGCCTGTAGCTGTCAGAGCAATTAAAGTTATTTGTATTTCTCTCAATTTCAATGGATTCTCTAATTAGTCTTGGCCAGTAATAATTCGTTTCACGCAACACTTCAACGTTATTTTGTATTTCGGGGGGGCATTTAGATCTCAGGGTCAGGGTAGTTTTATCATGGTAGTTTACCCAACTAAAATTTTTTGAAAAAATTAAATAACACAAGTAAATGTTAAATAACGTCCGAAGCAAAAGGTATAATAAACGTTTGTCGTTATCGTCCGGAATCAACACCGCGTTTGCATCGCACAGCCTCGCGGGACCACGTGGAGGAGCGTCGCGGCTTCGTCGTGCGATTACCGCATCAACTGCTCCACGCCGTCCGCCCCCCTCCCCCCCCTTGAGGCGGACTAACCCCTCTCTTGCGCTACTGAAAACGGAGGCGCGCCTGGCGCGGCACGAGGAAGGCCCCAGGTTGTTTTTGTTCCCCGGTAGAGGTCGGGCCGTGCCGGGCTCAGCTCGGCAAGCGGCCAGCGGGAAACTGCTTGGATGCGCCGACCGGGAAAGTGGCACGCACGGTGACCGTTTGCCGGCCGTTGCCGCGCTTGGTCTGCCGCCGCCGGACGCCTCCTCGATGCCGCTGTTTGACCGCCGCCGATAAAAATCCGTCTGCTTACCGCGCAGGCCTGGGCATTTGCCTGTGCTTCCAGCCGGCGCTCACCATCCTGGGCCACTACTTCCTCCGCCGGCGCTCGCTGGCGAACGGCGTGGCGTCGTCGGGCACGGCGGTCGGCATTTGCCTGTTGCCGCTCGTGGCGCAGGCGCTGCTGTCGAGGTACGGCTGGCGCGGGGCCTTCCTCATCATGGGCTCGCTGATGCTCAACTGCTGCGTGTGCGCCGCACTCATGCGGCCCGTGGCCGCCGCCGCCGCCGCGACACCCTCCGCGGACGCTCGCCGGAAGAGCGGCCGCAGGGACACGGGCTTGTGCTGCTGCATGGCGGAGCGGTGCGGTGAGAAGCCGGGCTCCGCGCCAGACGAGGCGGAGACGCTGGTGCGCAACGGCGGCGTGCCCGATGGCCGGCGGGCCGCGCCGGGGGCCGAGCGCGGCGGCGAGCCCGGCACGAACCCGAACGGCGGCTCGTGCAGCTGCGGCAGAGCCGGCGGTTTAACCGACGGCACGTCGGGCACCGGCGGCAAGGAGCTCGTCGCGCCGCGGCTGAACGACGACGGGACCCGCGGCGCCCGTGGCCCCGCGCCGCCGGACTTGACTTCGCGGCGCGGTGGCGGCGGGGCGGACGACGCGGCGCGTCTTGCCCCGGCGAACGGGCACAGCCGCGCTCCCGCAGACGCGCCGATCGGCGGGGAGGGATCGCCGGGCGGCCGCGAGCAGTCGACGGCCCGCCGGCGCCTTGGCCGCGCCGCCGCCCGGGCCAACCTGGACCTGTTCGGCAACCCGCTGTACAGCATCTTCGTGTTCGGCACCACGCTCATGGTGCTGGGCTTCTTCGTGCCGGTCATCTTCCTGGTGCCGTACGCCCAGTCCATCGGCATGAGCGACGAGGAGGCGGCCGCCCTCCTCTCCATCAACGGCCTCATCAACATCTTCGGGCGCCCCGTGGCCGGCTGGGTGGGCGGCACCAAGATGTTCAGGTGACGGTCGGGGCGGGGGGGGGGGGCGACCGCCGGTTGTCGAATACGGTTTGGTGCCGGCGGCGTCGGCGGTGGGTTTCGGCGTCCGCGAGCGATCTTCTTTTCTGTGCGCTAATTGCCGATTGAGCGACTCGCGGTCGTTGTTTGTCCTTCAAATTTTTGGACCATTGACGCAATCGCCTCCTCTGCTCCGAACGATGGCACGGGATCTTTTTAAAACGTCCGCTGTGACGTGCGTCGGAGTTAACGGCGCACCCGTAGTAGCAGCCTCGAGACTCGCTGGAGGGCATCATTATTATTCGAGTTAATTTGTTTATTTTGGAGTATTTGGCCGCCATAAATTTCCACGTGACGATAAGGCGCTTCGTTGGGCTATCATTTGTGGCCAGGTGGCTTCTGACTAAGAGGGAAACAGCAGATCAATGGGGTCTTAACCTGGTAAAATAAAAAATAGTTTAGTTGTAGTAGCAACTAGTGAGGAGGCGGGGGGGGGGGGTGCCTTGGCTTTCCAACCAGTAGCTATGAAGCTCTTTTTCACAGATGTCCAGTAGGGGCATGGGGTCAGAACGTTTCAATGACAAACAAACAACACAAAAACACGATAGGAGTGAAAAGTATAGGACAGGTGAGCAAATCACAAAAAATCTATACAAATCAAACTGATATTCTTAGTTTTTTCGGTAAAGTCACGTTGAAGGGAAACAACAAAATAATAAAATATATATATAAAACAATAAAAAATTCTCACGACGTTTCGACCATAACTCAAACGGTCATCTTCAGGTGTGTTGGTTTGCATAAATTTATTTTTAAACGGCGCATTTATTTATTTATAAAAAACGTTAGCGCCACGCGCAACGATTTGGCAGTTTATTTAGGACTAGTCCATCTATATTCTGAAAAGAGGAGGGGGGAGACGAATTTTTTTTTATAATATATGCTGTCTGAAAGCCACTGTAAGCGTGAACAATCAATTAAGACCTGAAATGGTTTATCAAATCTTTCCAATGATTGCTAAGATAGAATCCATCTTTCGATTTAAAGCTTTCGTGACTGCAATGATTCATCTTCTTTGGTTCTTTCGGTAAAGTCACGTAGAATGAGAATAAAATAATAAATTGATAAAATAAAATAACACAATAATATTCTCGCGACGTTTCGGCCACAACACAAGCGGCCTTCATCAGGTGAAGGGAGCGAGACTGTCTGCGCTGTCCTACCAGACAGTCTCGCTCCCTTCACCTGATGAAGGCCGCTTGTGTTGTGGCCGAAACGTCGTGAGAATATTATTGTGTTATTTTATTTTATCAATTTATTATTTTATTCTCATTCTACGTGACTTTACCGAAAGAACCAAAGAAGGAGAATCCATCTTCTCGGTTGAAATTGTCTCTGTGCTTGTATATGTGGATAGCCTCATGAACGAATCTCTCATGGAAGCCAGATAGCTTACAAAGAACCTCTGTCTTGGAAAAGTCAATGGCATGTGAGCCTACTGAATTAGAACAATGATCTGCTACGGCCGAGGTGTTGGTCCTACCGTGTTTAAGGTCTGCTTTGTGTTCACGAATGCGGTCCGAGACATGGCGTTTGGTTTCTCCAATGTAACTACTACCACAGAGGCAACTTAGTTTGTAGACACCAGGGTATTGTATGTCCGGAATCACATCTTTTACAGACGGAACTAGATCACGGATTTTATGTAATGTGTTGAAACGGACCTGGATCTTGTGTTTATTCAAGATTTTGGAGATCTTTTTTGTGATCCCCGCAATGTAGCGTAAAGTGATGGTTTTGAAAGGCTCCTCAAGAGGGTTCTTCTTCATGGTTTGAGTGATAGCTTTGCGGATTGTATAGTCGGAGTAACCATTAGCCCTAAGAGCTTGGTGTACGTGCTTGAGTTCACTGCTTATGTGTTCCTGGTCGGATATGCATTGGGCTCTATGATACAAAGTCTTGATGAGATAATTCTTCTGTGATGGATGGTGGTGGGAATCCGGTTTCAGATAAGCATCCGTATGGGTAGCTTTCCTGTAGACAGAGTGGCTCATTGAACCATCAGGTCTCTTTTTAATTAGGACATCCAAAAAAGGTATATATATTTTATTATTTTGTTGTTTCCCTTCAACGTGACTTTACCGAAAAAAACTAAGAATATGAATTACTGCAGTCACGAAAGCTTTAAATCAAAAATCAAACTGAATTATTTTAACTTACCAGCCCACTGAGCTATTCGTTTTTTTTTTTCAGAAGCAACCTGGCCACAAAGGATAGCTCAACAAAGTGGCTTATTAAAGGCCGATATGGCACAAGAGGGTTTGGTGTGGCCAGCATCACGCCGGGCCACCTTTGTCTCAATCATTGCAGATGTTTACACACCGCAACAGTCACGTTAAAGGGAAACAATAAAATAATAAAATATATATAAAACAATAAAAATTATCATGACGTTAACGTTTCGACCGTTTGCGTTATGGTCGAAACGTGAGAATTTTTATTGTTTTATATATTTTTTATTCTTTTATTGTTTCCCTTTAACGTGACTTTACCGCAACAGGGTAATACAACTAAGCTGTTTTCATCCTACCACCGAGCTATTTAGTTTTATTTTCATCCAGGCCTTGCCTGGTGAAAAATGAAAAAGACTTTTGGAGTCTCGTTATTTGGCGAAACGCGACGACGGTACGCATTCTCTGCGATGCGCGTTTACAGCCGGACGAGCCCGACTTAAAACAACGACGCGTCCTCTTCTTGGTTCTTTCGGTAAAGTCGCGTAGAATGGAAACAACGACGCGTCCGCCGACGATTCGCCGTTCAGCCACGCCACCTCTTCTCTGGCCGCCGCGCAGCGTTCTGTTCTTTTGTCCGGGCACCCGTCAGTTAATTCCGCGGGAGGTGGGGGGGAGGGGGGGTGGTTTGAACAACCCGGCGCTGATTAAGACCCGCGGGACGATTTCGCAATTTTCCCCAAAATCCGCGCGATGACACCGACCGGGTTGACGCTGGCTGGCCCTGCCGAACGCGAGCGCCGATCCCGCACGGCATCGTGTGGACTGCACTGCAGAACGGGGAATCCGAAGAGCTGTGAAGCTCTTTTTGCGCGGATGTGTCAGTGTGGGGGACACGGGGTGGCGGGGGGGGCGGTCGGTCGGCAAGTTACAGCGGCGAAAGCAAAACGCGAAACACGCCGCAATCGGAGTGCAAAGTCGAGGAGATGGTAAGCGAGTCCACTGGGTGTGCAGTAGAAGCCCTCTTGACGACGGTGATTGCTTCCACGAAACCGGTCCTCAAGCGATTCGCTCGTTAAGCGAGCGTAGGGAGATGCACTTTAAAGGCTCAATGCGTTCCAAGAGCATCGGAAATTACCCGCTTTTCACCCAAAAGACGCACGTTATAATACTTGTAAACAATGGATATTCATACATTAAGATACTAACAACATCATGAACAAATGTAATAATAGGGTTTTTCTTTTTACAAGGATTCATGTCTGCATTAACCACAATACCTGCAGTCAAAATGCAAACAAAAAACATACTATGATAATATATGTGGCATTGTCCTTGAAACTGATTGGTCCACACCAAGGGACGGCTTTCTTTTGAGCCTCGACCCAATTGGTGCTCAACCAGATGACACCAAAAGTACGCCTTTTGGTGTCATCTGGTCGAGCACCAATTGGGTCGAGGCGTACTTTTGATGTCATCTGGTCGAGCACCAATTGGGTCGAGGCTCAAAAGAAAGCCGTCCCTTGGTGTGGACCAATCAGTTTCAAGGACAATGCCACATATTATCATAGTATGTTTTTTGTTTGCATTTTGACTGCAGGTATTGTGGTTAATGCAGACATGAATCCTTGTAAAAAAGGTTTCAGTTTTGTTGCCAGAAAAAAGGGGAAAAACCCTATTATTACATTTTGGTACTGGCAAAGGAGGTCTAATGAATTATGAACAAATGTTAAATGAAATACGGTTACTGAATGCATACTGCAATGAGCCAAGAATGTGTGTGTGTCCCGCGCTTGACGTCTCTCCACATGAGGCCCACCCACCCGCGTGACGTCACTACACATGAGGCTCACCCCCCCCCCCTGCATTAATATTCATAAGTGGGTGGATTTTTACACGAACGCAGAGGAAGGTCGAGCTGATTTAAATAATTTATTACGCAAAGTCCCTTCAAATATGACGTTTCTTGACAGAAAGTGACGGTAAAAAATAAATCTAAGCAGCACAGTGCTACATCCGTGCGTGACGTCACTGCAAAAGAGCACCCCCCCCCCCTTCATTAATATTCATGCCGCGTGGAAATTTACACGAACGCACAAGAAGGTCGTGCACCACTCCCCTCATGAATATTCATGAGCGAGTGACGTCACTTCTATACTATACACTACACTACTATCCACTATACTATACACTACTATACACTACTCTACTATACACTACACTGTACACTACTACACACTACACTACTATACATTACACTATACACTACACTACTATACATTACACTATACACTACACTACTATACACCACACTACTATACACTACACTACCATACACTATGCACTACACTACCTTACACTACGCTACTATACACTTAACACTACTATACACTTAACACTACTATACACTTACAGTGAGGGAAAAAAGTATTTGATCCCCTGCTGATTTCATACGTTTGCCCACTGACAAAGAAATGATCAGTCTATAATTTTAATGGTAGGTTTATTTGAACAGTGAGAGACAGAATAACAACAAAAAAATCCAGAAAAATGCATGTCAAAAATGTTATAAATTGCTTTGCATTTTAATGAGGGCAATAAGTATTTGACCCCTCTGCAAAACATAACTTGGTACTTGGTGGCAAAACCGTCAGACGTTTCTTGTAGTTGGCCACCAGGTTTGCACACATCTCAGGAGGGATTTTGTCCCACTCCTCTTTGCAGATCTTCTCCAAGTCATTAAGGTTTCGAGGCTGACGTTTGGCAACGCGAACCTTCAGCTCCCTCCACATATTTTATATGGGATTAAGGTTTGGAGACTGGCTAGGCCACTCCAGGACCTTAATGTGCTTCTTCTTGAGCCACTCCTTTGTTGCCTTGGCCGTGTGTTTTGGGTCATTGTCATGCTGGAATACCCATCCACGACCAATTTTCAATGCCCTGGCTGAGGGAAGGAGGTTCTCACCCAAGATTTGACGGTACATGGCCCCGTCCATCGTCCCTTTGATTCGGTGAAGTTGTCCTGTCCCCTAAGCAGAAAAACACCCCCAAAGCATAATGTTTCCACCTCCATGTTTGACGGTGGGGGTGGTGTTCTTGGGGTCATAGGCAGCATTCCTCCTCCTTCAAACACGGCGAGTTGAGTTGATGCCAAAGAGCTCCATTTTGGTCTCATCTGACCACAACACTTTCACCCAGTTGTCCTCTGAATCATTCAGATGTTCATTGGCAAACTTCAGACAGGCATGTATATGTGCTTTCTTGAGCAGGGGGACATTGCGGGCGCTGCAGGATTTCAGTCCTTCACGGCGTAGTGTGTTACCAATTGTTTTCTTGGTGACTATGGTCCCAGCTGCCTTGACATCATTGACAAGATCCTCACGTGTAGTTCTGGGCTCATTCCTCACCGTTCTCATGATCATTGCAACTCCACGAGGTGAGATCTTGCATGGAGCCCCAGGCCGAGGGAGATTGACAGTTCTTATGTGTTTCTTCCATTTGCGAATAATCGCACCAACTGTTTTCACCTTCTCACCAAGCTGCTTGGCAATGGTCTTGTAGCCCATTCCAGCCTTCTGTAGGTCTACAATCTTGTCCCTGATATCCTTGGAGAGCTCTTTGGTCTTGGCCATGGTGGAAAGTTTGGAATCTGATTGATTGATTGCCTCTGTGGACAGGTGTCTTTTATACAGGTAATAAGTTGAGATTAGGAGCACTCCCTTTAAGAGTGTGCTCCTAATCTCAGCTCGTTACCTGTATAAAAGACACCTGGGAGCCAGAAATCTTTGTGATTGAGAGGGGGTCAAATACTTATTTCCCTCATTTAAAATGCAAATCAATTTATAACATTTTTGACGTGCGTTTTTCTGGATTTTTTTGTTGTTATTCTGTCTCTCACTGTTCAAATAAACCTACCATTAAAATTATAGACTGATCATTTCTTTGTCAGTGGGCAAACGTATGAAATCAGCAGGGGATCAAATACTTTTTTCCCTAACTGTAACACTACTATACACTTAACACTAGTATACACTTCACTTCTATACGCTACACGACTATACACTACACGACTATACACGACACGACTATACACTACACTACTATACACTACACTACTATACACTACACTATACACTACACTACTATACACAACACTACTATACACAACACTACTATACACTACACCACTATATACTATACACTACTATACACTACACTACTATATACTATACACCACTATACTATACACTACACCACTATACTATACACTACACTATACACTACACCACTATACTATACACTACACCACTATACACTACACGTTGGGCTCTGTGGAGGCCACGTAGTTAAGCGATTAAACATGGGAGTGGTCGTTAAGTGGAGTGGAGCTCTACTGTAAATGAATAATAAATTAAGTCCTATTTATCACAACTTGGGGCAAGGCAGCAAACGCAACGACTATAAATAGTTCCCCAGACAAGACCACATTGAGACCCACACAGCCTTGTTTGTAGTAGGAGCCCCTCAACAACGTCGCTTTCATGGGGCAGGCATTTCCTGCCCACCACACTCTTGAGACGCACCCACGAGTCAAAGTTGAACACCGCACCGCTCACAACCCCGACGAGTGTTCCCCGTTGGATCGGCGCTCCCGTTCGAGCGCCCTCGCCGCGCCCGACAGAATGTGCTCTTGACACCGCGCGGCGATGCGGCACAGACAACTGTGCGCGTCCGGGCGCTTCCGAAGTGTCCCGATGTGACCGGGAGACAACCCACTGCGTGTCTGGACGTGTCCAGGAGGCCCCCCGCGGCGTGTCTGGATGCGACTTAAGAGACCCCCCCCACCTCCCGCCCCCACTATCTACCACGGTGCTTTTCACTCCGCGTGTTTTGTCCCGGCTAGCAAGGCGACGTTAACGCCGATTGTGCCCGCGGCAGGGCCGGTGACGCAACACCGAGTCGGGAGCCGGTCGTCGTGCAGACCTCGTGTCATTCCGGAGCGAGTGGCGAACTCTTTGCCCCCGATGAGGTTGGGGGGGCGGAGGCGGAACGTCGCGGGAGATTCCCACCCTCTCTCCCTGCGTTGCTTGACAGTCAAACCGATGTTTCGTTGCCGAGTGCTGGAACGTGGCCGCATTAAATGCGGAAACCGGGATTAACGTGATGTTATTTCTTGTGCGGTCGTTGGTGACCCGGGGCGCCGCGGTGGCGGGATGTTAACTACCTCGCCTGGTACGCAGGAGGTCGTGGGTTCGATCCCGACCCTGACGCCGGCTGTATTTTTGAAGTTTGCCGGTCTCTCTCTTTCTCTTCCCGTGGTCCCGTGGAGTTTTCTCCGGGTCCTCCGGTTTGCCCTTCCACGTTTAGAATCGGCGTCACACGTTCAGAGTATTCGGCTGCGAAAATATGTCCACACGGCGATGATGACGATGATAGGCCACTTCGTTGAGCTATCATTTGGGGTGGCCAACTCACTTCTGATAAAGAGCTACACAGCTCAGTGGGGCCTTACCTCGTAAAATACAAACGGTTAAATCAGTGGAAATCGTCGGGCCTCGATCGCGATTTAAACTCCAGCGGTTTCACGAATGTCAACTCTCACTGCTGCACATGAGCTGAACCCAGGCTCCTCCGCCACGCTGCCTCGGCGCTCTCTGACCCCCGACCCCCCCCCCCCCCCCCCCCCCCCCATCGCCTCGTCGCATGCAGGGGCCGCAGCGTGTACCTGTACAGCGGCGCGGCCTTCCTGAGCGGCGCCAACGACCTGCTGTGCGGCCTCCTGCGGGGCCGCGGGGCGCTGCTGGCGTTCTGCGTGTGCCACGGCCTCACGTGCAGCGTCGTCGGCGGCGTGGTCTTCACCGTCATCGCCGAGTCCATCCCCGCCGGGCGCTTCGCCGCCGCGCTCGGCCTCTTCACCGTGCTGGAGAGCGTCTCCTTCCTCGTGGGCCCCCCGGCCGCCGGTGAGGTCCCCACCGCCCCCCCACACCCCCCACACCCCCCCCCCCCACCGCGCCCCGCACCACCGGAGCAATCGGTGGGTCGCCCGCGGTCCTCCGTCGTCGCCCGCTGGCCGCTGCGTCCGCGCCTCCGCGGAGAGAGCGGTCGCGCGACGGGGATCGCGTCGGAGCCAGCGCGTTGGACTGCCGGACGATCGCTGCCGAGATCGACCTGTCCGCAACCGGTTGCAGTGACTTCCAACACGGGGGTGCCCCTTGTAGCCTTTCTTCAGAAAGGCTTTTTGAGTTTAATTTGTTGTCCTTCAACAACACCCCCCCCCACCGCACCGCACCCCCGATCAACACGGTTGGCTACGCACGGTGCGAAAGAAGTTCTAACGTGCGCGCGTAACCGACGCAGTCGCTTGTGCCGCAGGCTGGACCGTTTAGGTGTGGGCCCAGCCTAACGCCCGCACGCGCACACGCACCCGCAGGGAAAACGGTTCCCCACGTGCAGCCAGCATCGTCTGTTGGGGCAAGGGCTGTTTGCGAGCGCCTCTGAATGCCGGCACGACGCACGAGGAGGTGGTGTGGCCAACATCTGCAAAAAAGACAAAGATACCCCGTATAGCTTTTATCAGACTGTTGGGGCAAGTGCTGCTAGCGAGCACCTATGAAGGCTGGCTCGGCACACGAAGCGGGGTGGGTGGCCAGCACCACGCCCGGCCGCCTTTGTCTCCCCGGTGGCGATGTTTACACACCGCACCAGGTACTCATTTGAGGCCGAGTCGACCTAGGGGAGGCCCAGGACCGGTTCGGATAATCGGCACCGGTGTTGACCGTGAGCGGGAATCGAACCCGGGTCACCGTGTTCGTAGTGCGGTGCGCTGACGCTCTCCATACACATGCGTACGCACACACGCGTACGCACACACGCGTACGCACGCACGCACGCATGTTCACACACGTGCACGCATACACGCGCGCACACCAAAATTGCTCAAGGAAATAAAATAAAAATCGAAACAGCGCGTGGGCGGGACCATAAATCACTGCTGTCGCAACCTTGGGAGGTGGCGGGCAGATTGCGGAGGCCTCTATCCAGCAGTGGATTGATTGTGGCCGATGACAAACGATGATGACGAATGTACCGTGCTCACAGAGGCGCCCTTCCCCTGCCCAGCTCCCGCCCCCCCCCCCCCCTCCCTGGGTTGCGACGCCTCAACACTTTCCAGCCCCCCACAGCTTTCCGTCGCCGCCCCCGTTACGGTCAGGCCTACCGCCACGCCTCCCTAACACCTGTAATGGGAGCATTCTTCACCTCGAACCGCGCCGCCTCACGCGCAATTCTTCGTCGTCGCTGGCTGTTTCGAGCGCCGCGAAAGCGGCTCGGGCGAGCGGGCGGGCGGGCGGGCGGGCGGGCGGGCGGGCGGGCGGGCGGGCGGGCGCAGTTCGCACATTTCGATAACACGAGACCATCGCGCAGGAGCACGCCGGCCGCCGTGCCACGCGCGTGCCGTGAAGCACGCGGCGATAACTCCCAGGCATGTGACCACGCCATGCAAAGGGCCAGGGCTGAATGTCCTTTGCTTTATGAACGGGGTTGGTTCTCGCCAAAGAAGGCGGTGGCTCTCATCGACTGACAGCCGCGCGAATAAACGGACGGGCCACGTATCAAGTTACCGAGAGCGGGCTCGCCTTGGGTCAGTCGCCCCTTTATCATCATCATCATCATCGGCCATGGTCAATCCACTGCTGGGATGAAGGCCTCCCCAACGCCGTGTCATGTTGTTACCCCTTTGCCGTTGCGCTAACGTACGCGCACGTCGCGCTGTGTCGGCACGCCATCGGTTTTCCTTCCGATTGCAATTCTAGCGTACGTCATCGGAACGGAATCGGACGAAAAAAAACTGAAATAAGGCGACCCGCGTCGGTACGTTTTCGGTGTCGAAAGACGCAGCCCGACGCTCCCACAAGGCCACGCGGGAGGGGCGTGTGGCACAACTTTGGCGCCGGCTGTCGTGGAGCGCCGGCGGTCGTGTCGCCCACGGTTCTCCGCGGCGAGCAACGACGTCTTTGAAAGCAACGGCGCTGCCGCTGCGCCTCCCCGAGTAAAATGAACGCGCCGAGGACGCTCGGCGCGTTCCGAGATTCGCCGGAGAACGGGGGCACCCCACCCCCCCGCGAACGGGCGAGGGTTCAACTCCCGTTCAACCTCCCGGCGGCAGCCGCGACAGGCGGGGCGACAGCGAAGCGCGTCCCCTTGAGCTCGTCTTGTTCCGCCGCCACCCCCCCCTACCCCCGCAGGCTTCCTGGTGGACTACACGGGCGAGTACAGCGTCATGTTCGTCACCTGTGGCGTCATCGTCATGGTCTCCACGCTGTTCATGGGCCTCGCGACGTACTTCGTGCGACGCCGCGACACCGCCGCCGCCGCCGCCGCCGCCGCCGCGTCCGGCCGCCCCGCCGGGAAGGACCCGGCCACGTGCGCCGGCGCGGTGCCGGACGCCGTCCGCAAAGAGAAGGAGGCCGTCGTTTGAGGGGGACCGACCGGCGTTCCGGCGGGCAGCTCGTTACACGCACCCAGGCGCTCCCTGCCACGAGTGGACCCCGCCGGTGCCCCGCCGGTGCCCCGCCGATCTCGTCGGGGAGCATGAAGCACCGTCACGTGAACCCCGGTCATCCTCGCCAGCGGCGGCTTTTGGCTAGCCCGTCGGACAAAGACGGGCGCCGCGTCGTGAAACTTTCAGACACTCTTCCTTATTTGAACGCTCTTCCTTCCGATATTCGGAAGCCACTGGAGCAATGTTGTTTTAAATCATCATCTTGATTGACGAACTTTTTGAGAGCTGCTTTTTTGTGTGTTTAGTTTGTTGTCCTTCCCCCCCCTCCCGCACCGCAGATTAGCATGGTTGGCTACGTACGGTGTGAAGGAAGTTCAACCACACTTACAACTGGGAGATTTAGTGACCGGCCGAGACATGAAATCCGGATAGGGGGCACCACGTGAAAGAGGTTTTTGATTTCAGTTCGAAATCTTTCTGCCCAAAGCAAACCTCGACTGGCATGGAGTGAGAACGCGTTTGGGGGGGTGGGGGGGGTGTAGGGGTGGGGGGGGTGGGGTGGCTCCGGAGCCGTTGGTGGAAATTCCACGTTCCCATTATGGGATCGAGTCTCGTCCCATGGCAGGACAGCTCCCCCCCCCCCCCCCGCGTTGAGCTTCTGAAGGATGACAGGCTGGGCTGGACCTCACTCGTGGACTTCAATTCGGAACGTTTGTACCTGTCCGGCACGCGACGTGGGAATGCTATGGGGGGGGGGGGAGCACAATCACATCTCACGGTGGCTATGAGATGTTAACTACCTCGCCTGGTATGCAGGAGGTCGTGGGTTCGATCCCGATCCTGACGCCTGCTGCTGTATATTTGGAGTTTGCGTGTCTCTCTCTCTCCCCGTGGTCACGTGGACTTTTCTCTGGGTCCTCCGGTTCTTCCCTCCAGATTTAGAATCAAAATGCGTTTCGAGTATTTTGCTGCTACAAGTCTCCACGTGATGAGCCACTACGTTGGGCTGTCATTTGTGATAGCCAGGTCGCTTCTGAAAAAGAGCTGTTTTAGCTCAGTTGGGGCCTTACCTGGTAAAATAACGCATTTTTTTCTTTTCCCCACACAATTGGTATGTTGTTGATAATTTAGCAACGGAGGAAATGCATGGCCAGGTGTGTTTTATGTATCTAGAACCCCCATTTAAAAAGCGTGAGAATTGTAAGACCGGACACCGCAAAAGAGTAGGCCAAAAATTATCTTAAAGAGGGTGCTCCGTCGAGCTCCCTCTAGCGGAGGCCCCTTTTCGCCAGCAGCGGCGAGAGAAATTGCAGAGCTGCGCCTTTTAACTTTTAAATGTGCACAGGGCAGCCACGCGGAGAAGTGCGGGCAATGCTTAGAGGTTTTTTGTGGTTGGATCGCGTAAATATAAATGCGTCGTTAAACCCCGCCAACGCTCCGACACGGCCAATTGGGTAAGGTTTGTCACGTGAACAAAACGTGCCAATTCGTTGCTATTTCAGCACACCGGTTCGTTGGAGAGTGAACCCACAATGCGTAGTAGCCCCGTCGGGTGCATTCGTCCGGGGCGGGTGGTGCGAACCAGACCCTGATTACAAAGTCACGGGAGGGCTCGCCTGAGCGGTGGAATCGAGCAGGGCACGCGTGCTTGGTCAAGTGCGCGCGAGGACACACGCAAGGTCACGCGGGCACCGTCCGCATGCGCCGGTTATCGCCGGCGAGCCTGCCAAGCGGTCCGCGTGCTCGCGTGGCTGTGGGCACAGGCTGCCCACATGCCCGCGGGTCGGGGAGCTGGGGGGGGGGGGGTAGGGAAAGGCCGTAAGTGTTAGTGGCGGTTCACGTTTTAAGCGACGTTTTCTTGAACGGGGTGAGAACTCAAGAAGCCACGATTAGTCTCACATTGCCAATAGTGACCCGGAGCCATCAGTCTGCCAGCCGGGGACGGGTGGTCGGGATGGGTGTGCATGACGATGCTGCTGTGTAATCCCAATCGAGTAATTTTGCGGTTGTTTAGAGTTCGAAATTGGCAAATTTAATAATCGTGAAGCTATGTTTTTTTCACAGATGTCCAGTAAAATGTGTAACCCGACTCTGTCGGGGGGACCTTTAGCGTGCACGGCTGGGCGGGGGCGGTTAATGCACCCGCAGTACCAATCATCACCCGAGTTCGATTCCCGCTCACGAAACCCGACATCCCGAGTTCGATTCCTGCTCACTTCGGTGGTGAATATCGGAATCGTTCCTGGACATGCACAAGGTCAACTAAACCTTGAAAACTAGGGGCGCTGTGGTGAACAGATGTTACCTACCTCGCCTGGTATGCAAGAGGTCGTGGGTTCGATCCCAACCCTTACGCCTCTATATTTGGAGTTTGCGTGTCTCTCTCCCCGTGGCCGCGTGGATTTTTCTCCGGGTCCCTCGGTTTTTCCCTCCACATTTCGAAACCTCGCGCGTTTAGAGTATTTGCCTGCGATACATTTCCACGTGATGATGAAAAGCCACTTCGTTGACCTGTCATTCGTGAAGGCCAGGTCGCTACTGAAAAAGAGCTATGTAATAGCTCAGTTTAGTTTTTGTTCTTTTAGCACCGTCTTGCGGTGTGTAAGCATCTGCAATGGGGAGACAAAGGTGGCCGGGCCCCGGGCGTGATGCTGGCCACACCAATTCCTCTTGTGCCATGCCGGCCTGAGTAAGTGCTCACTAACAGGACTTGCCCCAGTGGCCTGTATGGCTATACGGGTGGTATTTATCGTTATTCCCACGTGCTTGCCAATGCCACTCTTCAGACATATCATGGGTGACGCTGCACCACGTTGTGGCGTGCACAATCAACGGCACTCGCCCGATTCCCGGACTCTATGGAGATGTCTTTCGGAAATGTGGTTTTTTTTTTAAACGACTGAAAATATTTTGTAAACGGCGCTTTTACGTGGTACGAAACACTAAAGCAATACTGTATCGGACTTGTAACGATGACCACGCGTGTTAAAAAGAATAACCCCCTCCCCGCCCCGACTCAAATTTGCACAAAAGGAAACCAATACTGCACTGCATCACTGAGATTCCCGCGGATGCCAGTTCAGCTCTCCGTCCCAATGTCCGTGTTCAACTTGACATGGGCAGGGAGGGGGTGGGGGGAGCGCAATGACGACCTCTCCTTTCTCCCGCTGTACGGCGACGGGGGTAGTCGATCGTCGGTGTTTATCCGTCCACGTCGAGGTTTTGATGAGCGCACCGGCGGTGGTGGGGGTGGGGGGGGGGCTTCAGGAGTCGCCTGAAATCCCAGGTGGGCCAGGTGGGGGGGAAGAGGTCGGCGCACTGAGCTGGCAACGGCTGCCGTGAGCCCCTGCTCACCGATGGCTGCAACAATGTCAAACCCGTCGAAATTAATTTTTGGCGAAGAAAATGCCGGCTCTGTCACGCGACGCACGTTGGGCCCCCTTGTGCGCAGCCGGGGTTGGAGAGTGCTGCTTACTACGGTGTGGACCAGAGGTCAGCTGATTCAGGGCACCTCAGAAGCAGCTCTGTGGCGTCCGCCTCCACCGGCGGTTCTCTGCTGTGCGAGAGTTTCGCAATGGACACGAGGTGGAGGCCAGTAGCGCAGTTAGGGTGCAAAATCATGAGTGACAATAAGCGCCTGAAACACGTTTGGCCTGGCGCTACGGCTCGCCGCTGCTGGGCCTTGAGCGAGCCGCGATATCGCAGCTCCCGTCGCCGATCACGCTGGGGCGGATGGTGATGCACGTCACATCGTAATGTCACAGCATTGTGATGTTGCACGCATTGCACACAAAGTGCTCGTCAAGGAGCGATCAAGCACCATCACGTGAACTTCGCAGCAGCAGCAGCAGCGGCGGCTTTTGGCTCAGCCGTCGAAACAAAGGCGGTGGTCACCGAATCATCGCGCGGCGCTTTCAGATGCGCTTCTGCGGCCGTCTGGAACGCTCTTCCCATTCCGACATTAGGAAGCCAACGGGAGCTGTGCACTTTTAAATCGTCGACATTGAGAACTCGCTTTTTTTTATTGGAACTGCTTGTTGTTGCGTTTAGCTTGTTGTCCTTCCCCTGCACCTGCGATTCGCCACGGTCGGCCACGCGCAGTGTTCGGCACCCGTACAAGTTGACGACCGTCGCCGCGTTAATCAAATCCCACATCGCACCGCGACGAAATCACCGATGGGCCGAGGCGACCTCGGCTCGCGGCACTTGGCCGACCCACCCTGACTCGGGGGGGGGGGGGGGGGTGGGTGGGGGGCAGCTTTGCGGGGATTTTCATCCTTGCATCGCGACTTAACCGCGAGCGGAGCTGACGCGAAGTAAGCCGCACACCCCCCCCCCCCACCCCCCCCGGATTCGGCACGGTGGCACAATGACTCCTCTGTACGGTGCTTAATCTCCTTTTAATTGACGTTTTGTGCAAACGGCCCCTAAGGCACCCCCCCACCCCCCCGTACACCGCTGCTTCGCCGAGCGGCCGCTGTTGTTGGTTGTTGTTGTTGTTTGTTTTCACTCCACGCGCCAGCTACTGGCAATGGCAGTTGTAGCAATGGGGGTCAAGTCTCTTCAAATCCACCCCACCCACGCCTCTCGTCCACCCAGCGGTGTGCGGTTGTCTGCGCCAGGGGTCGATTGGCAGGTCACGTGCGGTGGGGTTAAAGTGCGGGCAGGTCACGTGCGGTGGGGTTAAAGTGCGGGCAGGTCACGTGCGGTGGGGTTAAAGTGCGGGCAGGTCACGTGCGGTGGGGTTAAAGTGCGGGCAGGTCACCTGCGGTGGGGTTAAAGTGCGGGCAGGTCACGTGCGGTGGGGTTAAAGTGCGGGCAGGTCACGTGCGGTGGGGTTAAAGTGCGGGCAGGTCACGTGCGGTGGGGTTAAAGTGCGGGCAGGTCACGTGCGGTGGGGTTAAAGTGCGGGCAGGTCACGTGCGGTGGGGTTAAAGTGCGGGCAGGTCACGTGCGGTGGGGTTAAAGTGCGGGCAGGTCACGTGCGGTGGGGTTAAAGTGTGGGCAGGTCACGTGCGGTGGGGTTAAAGTGTGGGTATCCCCCCGCCACCGCCACCGCCCCACCTCTCCCTGCCCCACCTCTCCCTGCCCCACCTCTTCCTGCCCCACCTCTTCCACACGTAGAAGAGAAGGCCAAAATAATCTCTCTCCTCTCTCTTTCGTGAACGGCCTCCGTCAGCCGCGGCGCAAAAAAACGAGGCATTCGCGGGTCTGCGCCTTTAACTTTCTACCTTTTGTACCTGTGGCCCCGTGCGACAGTTTACATCCGTGCGTCTACGCGTGATTTTTGTTTTTTACACGAACGTGAATTCAAGACAAAAAAAAGGTGCTGACCGTTAAAGTGAGCACCGTCCCGTGACTTTTGATTCCCCGACGCTGAATTTGACGGTGGAAGTGCTCAAACCGAGTCGCATTCGCTCGCCCCTGCTGTATTGTGAGCGCTTACCGATGTGGCATTTTTGCCCAAAAATTATATTTAACTTTCGAATTCCGAGTTTGGGGCGCGCGTAATGAAATG